TGCAATACTCAAACTTGCAGAACTGAACTGGTTCGACTGATATAGCCAAAGCGATTGCTCGGAGAAAGTGGAATTGGGTCGGCCACATATGCCGTCGCACTACCAATCAGTGAGCTAAATAAGCACTGGAGTGAAGACCTCGTACTGGATGTCATGACATGGGTAGACAGCCAATGAGGTGGATCGAAGACCTGGTCAAAATATTGCGTGCGTGCATATTGCAGCCCCTTTACCCCTTTACGGTACCCTTATGTACCACAATTGTGTTGTGAAGCAGTCATTCATTCCAATTTAAAGGGTGAGACTTGTGCCTCCAATTACCATTAGGTCTCACGACGAAACCCTTCTTAATTACGGTCACTTAGCCTGTATTATTTATTCTAATGTTTATGAGCGGTAGCTTGTTGAAACTTCAATGAATTTTTTGTAAGAACCCGACAAGCCATGTGCAGCGGGTATTTTTCATTTCCTAAAAGCTGTGTGATTTCTCAAATACCAAAAGTTGCATAATTCGAAAGTAATTACATTTTGGAAATCTAAAAATAACTTTTAATAAGTTTGAATTAAAAATAGTGTCAGAAAAAATGATTTTATTGTAGAAAAAAAGTGGGGTGCATGGTATCAATAGAATTAATATTTTGATAATATCCTGAAAAGCACCCCACTACAATAAAATTATTTATTCTTACACTATTTTTAATTCTAATTTATTTTCTATTTTTTAGTTGGATTTTCTATAAAAGCGTATTTTTTTAGTTTTTTTAAACTATTATTTATTTTTCATTTTTTAGTTGTTTTTCAATTTATTAATTTTTTTTTAAATATTGAATTGTTGTCGGTCCTTAATAAGTACACCAAATTTTGAGTTAATCCGACGTTTTGAAGGGTGTCAAAATTATATTCAATGATTCCGTTACAAACATACATACATACGTCTGAAGCTAATAAAAGCGTATTAACAAAATTAGACAGCAGAACATTCTTCACATCTTTCAGAGTCCAGTCTGAATTGGCACTAAGATGCGGTCGCTCACTACGGATCACATCAGCTTAAAATGTAGCTCAAACAAGAGAGTTAAGTTAAACAACAACAAAATACAAATTTATTTCCAAATCATTGAACAGACTTGTTTCGTAGATGCCGACCCAGGCGGAACTATCGCAGACTTGTACGTATTGCAGCTAAATTGGATTAGGCAAGTTTGTTTCGACTTTGGATTGTTAGTGCCTGTACTCTTGCTGCAATTCCAGACAGAATATGTATCTAAACTTGGTCGGATGTGATTTATTCATGTACATACATAGAAAACAACAATTTCAAGCTTTCATTCCCTTAAGAAATATGTTCCGACGAAGCCGCGTGGCAAGAGCGAGAATATTGTTATTAAAATCATGAGCGTATGATAGAACGCCACAATGATATATTATATTAAACATGTTCATCAAACTAAAGTTATACATATAATGCTACTACAATAATGTTCTAACACGTAGGTGTATTTTTATTGCTTTAAGCTGGTTATATTTTTTCTAGTGTTAGGACGTCTTGTGGGGCCACCGCGCGGCTCATGTGTTTCGGTTTGAAGGGTGGGGCAGCCGTTGTTACCATACTTGAGACCTTAGAACATATATCTCAAGGTGGGTGGCGCATTTACCTACGTTGTAGATGTCTATGGGCTCCAGTAACTACTTAACACCAGGTGGGTTGTGAGCTCGTCCACCCGTGTCAGATTTAAAAAAAACAATATAAAAAAAACTGGTCGTATGTTCTCAACATGGAGGATAGAAGTGAGGACGAACATCTAAATGGATTAAAAAGTTTCCGCTAAAAGGAAGCCAATTAAAGTGGCACCATAATAGCAAGTGGGGAGATTTATAAAACAGCGCGATAAACTATTAGAGTAGGATATTAAATTAAGAAGGAAATTAACGATTTCAACGTAATTAGTATTTAGAGGTTATCCAGATATCGATAGGAAGATCAGTTTGGGTGGTGCTGTTCTAAGTCGACAACAATTACGTTACGACAGTGGTGCCTTGGTCATCCATGGCAACAAAAGCATTCGATATATCGGAAGCTATAAATGAAATAGTATAATAAACGTGCGATTAAATCGTAACAGTAGCAAATCCAGTTGTAACGGTAGATAATTCGTGATATAAGATTGATTAATGAATGTTTTCAATAGGCAATAAATGCAACTGATAAACGAGCTGTTTGGCAAACGCTAGTGGTAAGATGCCAAATCCGAAACGTATCTCAATCGATATTAATGCACATAGCCTAAAACGTGAGAATATTGTTTTTAACAGAATTACTTTTGTGGTACAAAATTTTAATCGTAAAGTTTCAAGGCTATATCCCGGCCCGTCGACTAAGGGAATCGGTGGTCGTGTTGCCGGCGGCCGCCTGTCCAGCGTCTGGGGGACGGCGGTATGGATGTAATATGCTCTGCGTCAACCCTGTCCCGCCGTCTCAATAGCCCCGACTAGGCTCCGGCCCGGTCCGGCGTAGGGCGCCGGCTGTAATCACCAGGACTTTTTAATGAGATTCAACTTCACATATACCCCACCCGCCGTGTGGGCTGGGATCCGGTGATTATCTCCTGTGGAAAAAAAAGGCTTCTACTGGAGACTCTTGGGTAGCTTTTAGCAAATCTTTCCTTCATAGCTAAGCTTTCACCCTCTTGTCATGGCTTAGCTGAAAAGACCCATGGGTCATTTAAAATAAAATTAGCAGACTCACAACCCATCTAGTGTTACCTAGTGTTACTTGAGTTCTGTTTTCGGAGCCCAAACATCGCTCTGTTATTATAAAATATCTTATCCATTCTTCAAGTTAGACGCAGCAGAAGACTGTGACACGTGTGGACTCATAATGTGCCAATAAAATCAACTTTAACATAACGTTACAAGGGTAGCTTTTGTGGCAAACAAATGAACCTTGAACATTCTCTGCGCGCGATCGAATTAAGCGGGACTGTCTTATTTTTTGTCTCAGCCTCTAATAATATTAGGCGAATTTATTTACGGGCTCCATAAGGCACTCGGGGATAATTCTTTGTGTATCCTTGACTTTTGTTAGGTATTTTTGTTATCTGTTGTAGCTTGTTTAATCTTAGACATTAAAACGGTACATTGATAATATGAGGTTCATCATTTTACAAGCTGAAATCCAAATCGAATTCTCTTAAGCGGCTATTAAAGTCATCATGATCATGATGACGTGACACGTATACCTTGGACTGTGTGCTCGAATTTTCAATTCATAATTGCATTAAGGTAATAAAAATAATTTGATTTTAATGTGTCTCCCGTTGATTAATGTTTCATTGTCAAGATACAACCCAACTGAATTTTCTATTAGCATCTAGTGTTATGTTATATTTGAATCTACTAACACACACAATCCCACACATACGCATACACATACCCATACAAAAACACACACACATACACATAGACATGGAAACGTGAATATTATCATCCAATTTGGGACAAGAAGTCAAGAGACAAGAACATGTATTTTACAGCATATTAAGATACTAACCTATGCGGAATTAAAGTAACAACTGTCTTGCGTGTTCAAAGAATCGTAAACAATTGGATTAATCCTCAAATCATCTAATGTATATACAAATCGTTATGTCTTTGGCTTCAAATATGGCTTCCTATCGGGCAGGATGAAAGTCGCCCTCTAGGCTTACACGGTTAATTAACTTCGGGAAAGGGAGGACATAATACATAGTCATAAGTACTGGTGTTGACATTCTTAAAGACTGTTCATAGTTTGATGTTTCTTTTTCAATGCATAGATGGGTAGACAAGCTCACAGCCCACCTGGTGTTAAGTGGTTACTGTAGCCCATAGACATCTAGAACGTAAATGCGCCACCCACCTTGAGATATAAGTTCTAAGGTCTCAGTATAGTTACAACGGATACTCCGCCCTTCAAACCGAAACGCTGCTTCACGGCAGAAATAGGCGGGGTGGTAGCACTTACCCTTGCGGACTCACAAGAGGTCCTACCACCAGTGATTACGCAAATTATAATTTTGCGGGTTTCATTTTTATTACACGATGTTATTCCTTCACCGTGGAAGTCAATCATGAACATTAAATTAAAAGAAATGTCTGACTGACGGACTCGGTGGAGCAGTAGTTAGCGGCCCTAACTGTTACATCGAGGGTCGTGAGTTCGATTCCCACATCGGGCAAACATTGTGTGATAGACAAGTCTGTTTACTCTTTGTCTGGATGTTTATTATCTACATACGTACATATTTAAAATATATATAAGTATCAATCTCTGGTACCCATAACACATCATCATCATCATCTTAGGCCTTACAGCCCAGGGTGGGCCTTAGCCTGGTCCAGTATGTCTCTCCAGACTGCACTGTTCAGGGCTTTCTCCTTCCAGTTCTTGACGCCGATATTTTTGAGGTCGCGCTCCACGCCATCCAACCATCGGAGTTTGGGTCTGCCACGACTTCTGCGGCCCTCTGGTTTGCCATAGAGCAATTGTCTCGGCATTCTGGTACTCTCCATTCGAACCACATGTCCTGCCCATCGTAAGCGTCCAATCTTAACAGGGAATCATAAATTAGGGCCAGATGACCGTGCGTATATTGTTCCCAGTTATTATTAGCATTATTATTGTTATTAAAATGAAAGACAGAATCGCTAAGTTAGGACGAAAACATGGTACTCTTATGATGCTCAATATATCCGTCTTGGCTTTGACAATTATAATTGAACTTCTCAGTGTAAAAATTACAATATCTTCTACTTTATATTACCGCAACAATTGCACTGCACGTGTTGGATTTCAGTCCTTCCTACACTCTTCATTCAGTTCCTCCTAAGTTTTAAGGCTAGTCCTAGGGTTTCACTTGCTAGAGGAAAATCTTTTGTAGTTTCAAAAGCTACGGATTCAGAGGCAAAAACCTGAACTCATAAAGCGTTTTTTTTTACGTATCATATTTTCTTTATTACAGAATCCTCAACATCTCTCTACGGTGTGAATAAATTAAGAAAATCTTGACAAACAATAAAGATTCCTTTGTAAATGAGATTAAAGTGAGTACTTTTCGTTTTATTAATTTCAATAAGGTTGTGTTTCTTAAGATAAGGTTCTTCTATCTAAAATCCAGGAATCGACAAATTAAATGGACAAATCCGATTTGTCCATTTAATTTCATCTCTTGTATTATTATGAGTAATTATGAAAAATGGAGAATGAATTATTTAGTCGTCGTGGCCTAAAGGATAAGACTTCCGATGCATTCGCGTTGAGCGATGCACCGATGTTCGAATCTCAGGCGGGTACCAATTTTTCTAATGGAATACGTACTCAACAAATGTTCACGATTGACTTCCACGGTGAAGGAATAACATCGTGTCATAGGAATGGAACCAGCAAAGTTGTAATTTGCGTGATTACTGGTGGTAGGACCTCTTGTGAGTCCACACGGGTAGGTACCACCGTCCTACCTATTTCTGCCGTGAAGCAGTAATGCGTTTCGGTTTGAAGGGTAGTGCAGCCGTTGTAACTATACTGAGATCTTTGAACTTATATCTCAGGGTGGGTGGCGCATTTACGTTGTAGATGTCTATGGGCTCCAGTAACCACTTAACACCAGGTGGGCTGTGAGCTCGTCCACCCTACTAAGCAATAAAAAAAAAATTTTGTGCTTGAAATTTAACATTTCGACAAACAATTTCTTCCAATTTTATTGGTAGGTGAGAGGTATATATACGCTTTAAGCTCATTAGATATTTTGGACACATTCTGCACAGGCAACAAATTAGATATTCGCAATTTAGAATACTATTGTCATATTTTATGCAATGCGCACTACCACGATACACATTTAACGCGCAGAAATTCGTGTTTACCTAGTAAACAAACATTACAAAGCTTTGAAACTACCACTTATCGATTATTAATAGACCATCGATATATTCATATCGATTCATTTGGAGATGTACAAAAGCAAAATAATGGATTCTCCTTCGAAACAGAATAAAGCGTTATCGAGCGGTTAACCAAAGATTAGGCGTGCCAAGAGCTCTGGGCATTACGCCAGGTTTTTCATTAGGACTGAGGGTATTGGCAGCGAATTGATTTGCGTGTTTCGAAAAAATGTGGATTCTCAAAAAAAAAATGCGTTTGTTTGTCGAATCACTGAAGCCTTTCAGTCCATTTTCAAAGTTCAAGGTCGACTGGCACTGTAAACAATGGCTCAATCCAGACAATAAAACTTACCTATTCAATATTCCGGTATTATCTACTTAATAGACAGATGTGCTATCGGCCCACTTAATGTCTATGCTTACTGTCGTTCATAGACATCGGGACTGTGAGGGGTACAACCGCTACCTCGCTTTTAATGCTTACGAGGGTGGACGAGATCACGGCATGAGACATGATTTTTAAGTCTTCATTTTACAATACGACTGTCCCATCAATCAAACCAAAACGAGCTTTACTTTGGGCCAGGTTAGTCAGATTGTCTTCATCTCCGCTTCCATAGTGCGCCATTAGGGCTGCTTAGGACAGCCTAATTTCCAATTGCTCTGGGATGTCCATTCCAAGGCTTGCATCGGGATGTACGAGTATATAAGCTCTCTTTTGAGAGTATGGCCTATTCATATCCATTTGTAACGCACGATCTGCTTGTGCACTACAAGCAGTAATTACGTTAATTATTTTTCCTGGTTTGATTTTTTTACAAGAATCTAACGGCGAATACTCTCTTCAAATCTAGTTTTAAGAAAAATTATCATAACGCTCAGACATTAGCGTGCAGTTCGTTCCAGAGCTAAATAGTAGCATGATAGTATGACAAATATTATGACTTGAAATGCATAGTGAACGTCAGCGAGTGACACGTACGAATGAACAAACAAATATCTTGCCTATTTTTGTTGCGAGTCATTAAAACATACGAGTTCGAAAGTCCTACTTATCCAAAAATATCCTACTGATGTTTTGACCTCATATATCTCAAAGTTGATTCACGTTTTAGGGCGTCGATGATTGCGCGTCACATTAAGAGTTCCGTGTGATTTTCCACCCAACTCATCATCATTCTCCTGCCCTTCTCCTGCTCCTTTCAGTCAACTGGGGTCGGCGCAACATATTTTCTCCTTCCATACTCCTCTATCATATACCATTTGTTACAAATATCGTCTTTCACGCAATCCATCCATTTCTTCTTAGGTCTACCTCTTCCTTTATATCCTTCCACATTCATAGTTAAAACTATCTTACCAACCACATTTTCATTTCGTCTCATCACATATCCATACCATCCTAAGCGTGTGCTTCTCTGTCACAGGTGTCGCTTTCAGGCTTCCTCTAACATATTCATTCCGTATTCTATCCATTCTCGTTAGTCCACACATCCATCGCAATATTCGCATCTCTGCTGCATGCAATCGCCTTTCATCCTGATTTTCGGCCCAACTGAATGAAACAAAACCGTGATGTGCTCTTTTGCCCAACAATAACAGTAATAAAAGTTGACCCTGTAAGATCAGATTAGCAGTCGAAAGTAATGTACCTCAACAAAATGAAATATCTAAATACATTAACGTAATGTAGCCTTATAGGAAATCTGTTGACACAAAGCCTCTATCGGGTCCCATCCGATCACTCAACTAAAACCTTTATAGAGGACGTAAAGAGGTTCATGGTAAATTGATCTGGTTAATATATTTTTATCTTTATATAATACCAGCATAATCGTATTACCACAAATACGCGACTTACTTATTTATTATACAATGTACGTGTTTTAAATTGCTAAAGTCTGTCTGCTGTTAATTAAATATTGGACCAATGAAATTTGTATTAAAAGGTCGACGTTAGAATAACATTGGAACAACGGTAATTCGATCAGTTCGAGTGAATTCAAAGATAATATATAATTTTCTAGTATAAATCCGATCAAAGTAATAATTTGTATGCCGATTTGAAGTTAAAGTCTAGACTCTGTTCAACGATTTTTCATACCCTGCAGTCAATAGTCGCTATTAAGCCAATTCTCTGGATTGTAGGGTATACGAGAAAAAATAAAAAATAAAACAGATTAGAGTCCATGAAACTACCTCATCCATCATCCAAGGATGTTCAACTGAACAATAAACCTAATATTATCCAGCCGTAACTCTTCGAAATGTTCTCCGCGTATGGCGCATAGTATTTATACTAGACCGTGCAAGCTATCGGAAACTCGTAAAAAGATGTAGCATAACATTCAAACCTTGCAAAAACCATGTCCTCTCGGTCCTAAAGTGAGCTTTAGATTATAATTAGATAAACAACCCTATTTTTTCGAACAATTTGTGTCGATTATTGATAAGGAAAGTCTACGTGTATCCTTATTTTTTTTAATTGAAAATATTCTCTTTGCTTGCCATTACTAAAAGTCAGCATTCAAATGTTCAAGCCGATTCTTGTTCAACCTTGAACAGCTATTTTCCAAACTTATTGCCAGTCCCTTTTCTGATATTTCGGTGCCATTTCATTCCCCTCTAAATATTGGTAACTATCTTGCCCATGAAGATCGCTTTTAACAATTGCTCTAAAATTATAGATGTTGAAATAATCAAGACAATCTTTAGAGGTGGAGCTATGTGATGGATCGCGACACGGAGAAAAAGTAATTAGAAAATAACGCAAAAGATTCTCAGGATTGAGGTGTCCGGTAACTAATAAATTCTAAATATCAAAATACAAGTGTTGAATTAAAACTCAAACACAAGCTCGGTAAAATATGGCGGACTATTTAATTTGTTCTCAGTGATTTTTGTAGTCAGAAATAGCTCAACAATCTAATTATAGTTAATAACATTAACTTCGAAACAATTTCCATAACAGATGTTCTATTTCAACATTAATTTGCAATTTAGGCAATGGCTAACCTACGTTTTGACTGAAATGAAATTATCATAAATAATTTTGGTAGTGCGTTTTGAATTTGTAGGTATTCAGTATACGAATATGTTTATTTGGATCATTGGCATCGGATCATTATATAATGTATTCGTTGTTAACAGCCATAATTATCTTATTTTAAAAGTTCTAAAAGGTGGTAGGACCAGGTGGTCTCACTGGTGGTAGGACCTCTTGGGAGTCCGCACGGGTAGGTACCACCACCCCGCCTATTTCCGCCGTGAAGCAGTAATGCGTTTCGGTTCGAAGGATGGGATAGCCGTTGTAACTATACTGAGACCTTAGAACTTATATCTCGAGGTGGGTGGCGCATTTACGTTGTAGATGTCTATGGGCTCCAGTAACCACTTAACATCAGGCTGTGAGCTCGTCCTTCCATGTAAGCAATAAAAAAAAGGTGTTTCAGTAAAATTTCAAGAGACAGAGAGTGTTTCACGAAAAGTAATTGAATCTTGAAGACATTCACAGTTCATCTTCATAATCGTGTTTTAGGAATTTAATTAAGCGAGTCATAAATTGGGATAGTCGGTGGGTTCAGAGTGCAATGCCTTTTTTTCATGCAATTAGGGTATTTTGCAAGTGAACAAGCAAGCTGACAATAAAAATGCGGATAACACTACTGCTGGTCATCATCATCATTATCCTGCCCTTCTCCCAGTCACCTGGGGTCGGCGTACCATATTTTCCCCCTCCATATTCCTCTATCACATACCATTTCTTCGCTCACTCCCCTCTTACACATATCGTCTTTCAAACAATCTATCTATTTCTTCTTAGGTCTATCTCTTCCTCTATATCCTTCCACATTCATAACACTAATAACACTACTGCTGGTAGGAGAGATAATTTAAACTGAACGATAAATAAGCCTAGTGTATCTGTTATGGCATGACCTCTGGCTTTGAATTCGGTAAAGTAATCGAAATTCGTGTAAATATATAAGATGCGATACATACTATTGTGATTCGTTTCACGATAACGAAATTGAATAAGCTCCACAAAAAAATAAACCTGATTAGATTCGAAGAGGAATAATCAATGCTGTATTAAATAGATAGATAGATAGATCAGAAGCTGTACAATATAATCGTGGCATAGATTGGCCCTTTCAAATGTA